TATTTCTTCTGTATATGAATGTAAAAATGCGTCCGCCCGTCCGTCCTTCCTGTCCGGTCGGGACAATCTGCCTGGGATTAACACACACACCCGCTGTTTCTCATAATCATTGTTTATCTAAATAAGCGGGTGGTCGTGAAATGTTCATAATTTTATATGTTTCGGCAAAAAGATTCAGAAACTCGTTTGGCAGTAGTGTCATGATGATGGATGGTAGGAACCGAGAAATATAATATAATAGAAATGTTTCGATGTTTGATTTGATATCCGACTTCAATGTGGCTAATCTGCAGATCTAAAAGCACGTGTTGGCATTGTGTGTCTATTTGCATAAACAGCCTCTAACGGTATACAATAAGATCGGTGATGATAGTGACATGGTCCACAGTGAATCTAAACGAATCAAAGTTTGAAATATTAAAATGAGACGCTTCTCAATGGTATAGCGATGTCAATCACGAGAGCCGCATACATGAGCGGGTTTTACGAGGTATTTTAGCAATGGTTTTGAGATGACGTTCAATATGCTGTTCTTCTCGGGGTTAGCTATCACCACGCCGCTACATATGGTGGGTTTATTGCTGATAAAATTGTTTAACCTGATACGGTCCATTAATACACGATGCTATGACAACCAGATCATATGTTGCAACAAAATGTACTGTTTTCATTTATGATGTTTTGAGATGTGTATCAACGACAGCCACGGCCTGGATGCCACGAACAGCGATAGCTGGGCATTCAGGCTTCATGTCGGTGTAGATTGCTTTGTGAGATTGCTTTGTCAGATATAACATACATTAATATAGAATGGTAATAGTTTAGTGTTAATTTAGGACTGCAAACTATGCAACAGAGGAAATCCCGTGCTTCAATGTAGATTTACAAATTCAAATTTACATAGAAATGATGACAATAATTATACAGATCATTGTTCAGCAGGGCTATATACCGAAAAAGTTTTGAATAATTTCTAACATTTTCCAAACTACCCCATCAAGTTCCTGACAGCGAGTATTTTATAATAATATTAAAAAGCTCAGATGTATCTCAGATAATGATTTATGCTTCTGCGCAAGAGGAGTTTGTGTGAAGAAATACGTGAGGATATTTGCACTAATAGGAACATTATGAAATTGCTCAATGTCAGGGGTGAAAATAACCCATTGCCCGACGTCCGAGTCCAGTGTTTTTTTCTGTCGGGCAAGCAAATTTGTATATCACACTGTACCGGTGTCCAGTTGACTTTCCAATGTTAATAATGTTGTTTATTTAAAAAATCAACAAGAAAGCAGCCGGTATAGCGGAAAACTTATCAGGGCAAGTGATTTTACATGTGATACTGTTCCGGAGTACACTAGCAATTTAAAAGTTATTTCCACCCCTGCATAATGTACATTTTCTGTGAAGAAAGATATCATAAAAACTCAACGGCATCATTGGTTAGCAGTAGATGTGTTTGCTAACGTATTATTGACTCAGTTGATGACTTCATTATACGCGATGGTTATGTTCAAGACCCTTGACAAACTAACAAAGATGTCTTTCTTTCTTGCTTTCTTTCTACCCGTGAAGGTCTGGGTTAGAATATTGATCTTCAGTAACCCATGCTTGTCGTAACAGGCGACTAACGGGATCGGGTTGTCAGGCTCGCTGACTTGGTTGACACATGTCATCGGTTCCAAATTGCGCAGATCGATGCTCATGCTGTTGATCACTGGATTGTCTGGTCCAGACTCGATTAAGTACAGACCGCTGCCATATAGCTGGAATATTTCTGAGTGCGGTGTAAAACTTAACTCACTCACTCACGCACTTGCTTTCTTTCTTTCTTTTCTTTTTTGCTTGCTTTCTTGCTGTATTTCTTTGTTTGTTTGTTTGTTTATTTATTTATTTTGGACCAAATATCAGTTAACAAGCGCAAGTGTCCACTGTGATTTTGAAATCAGATTTAATGTCGTAGATAATGGTGTTCAAAAGCCTGCAACATATGCTAACCCGAAGAATGTCGACGCGAAAATACCGGATTTGAGTAAGGAACAAGCAATCTCCGATCAGTGATAATTAAATTGTATCGGTAATGTCAATATTGCATCACGGATATGACGAACCGACCATACATGTGGTCCTTGAGATTACAATCAGGGCTGTCTGTGGTAGATGTGATATCCGTAACATGGCCTTCAGATAAATATTTATGTTGGTCGAGTGGTCCATTACTTGTAAACACGATGCACATGTACCAAGCATCTGAAATATACAACCAGAATCCACCACAAAAGATCTTAGCGCAGATATGATCGCAATTCCACATTTTGAACATAGACTTACGATGGTTCTACGACAAGAGTTCCGTCCCACAAAAGATCTTAGCACAAAGATTGTCGTTATTCCAAAACTGCATAGGCTTACGGTTATTGTACGACCAAGTCCCGCTCCGCCAGGGATCTCAGCGCAAAAATAACCAGGCTTACGACACTTGTGGGGCTGAGATCATATTGGGGAACGGGATCCTAGGTGCCCTCATGGCTCTGAAATATTGTTGGATAAATAATGTGTGTATGTATTTCCTATTTAGGTGACAACCCCAACCATGTACATTATAGCTGGTGTTTGTTGTTTAATTCGGCAAAATTCCGGCTGCATGACAGCGATCTGTAAATAATCAAGAATGGACCAGAAAATCCAGTGATCAACAACATAAGCATCGATCTACGCAATTTGGACACGATGACATGTGTGAACCAAGTCTGCGAGCTTGACCACTCGATCCCGTCAGTAGCATCTTTAAAGCATGGTATCCTGAGCGCAGCCCGGAACTTCCTGGGAATGTACATCACATTGTAATTTAAGCACAGTGTTTTACACGGCAATATTTAGAAAGGTACCAGAATGATACAAGGTTCTTGGTCTTGTTTCCTTACAATCTCAGACTGAAAACGGGTACGTATTGATGCCGTTGGCTTCAAGAAATGGTGGCTCCTGTAAATTTGAATATAACAGTGTAAATTTATGTTAAATGCACAGGTGAATCCAGGTACGAACATAGATCCCTACAAACCAATGCTTGTCGGAAAGAGGGGTCACCCATTTAGTTCTGAGGAGGTAGTAGGGGTCATCAATTTTGTACATAACAATATTGAAAAAATATGCTTAAAAATTATGGGGTGGGGGTTGCGGTCATTGATTTTGTACATGACATGCAGGGAGCATTCAGTTACTTTGTACATACATTTGAGGGGTAGGTGGGTGGTGGGTGTATCACATTGTACATGCTTCTCCATCGTAACGTCACTCGCTGGATATAGTCTGGCCCATGCTCCGACATTTACAAACTTCTATCATATAGGTCTTTAAATGCCATTTATGAGTGATACACATAGAGAAGAAGGTTTTTATGGTTGTCAGCTTCTGTATTATGAGGAACACAGCGTTTCGGAGTATATCCTTACTCCTTCACGTTCACTTCGAAACGTTGCGTTCCTCACAATAAAGAAGTTGGCGTCAATAAAAACTCGCTTCCTAATGCAATCATATAGCCTGGATATTAAACATCATTAAAAGAAAAATTGAAATAATTTCTATATTTAAGAAAAAACAAAACACCACAAAACGATTTCATTTAAGTTTGTCGATTTAGTTTTGCGGATGGACGAAATGTAAAAGAATTGACAGTTTCTGATATTCCGGTGGTCGACATTACGGCTTCTCCTCAAGTCTCCACGGTTGGCTGTCGTGCTCAGGGTGGGTCTAGACGCAGCAATTAGTTCGTTGTGTGAACCTGGGACGTTGTCTCGTGGTAATTATTGGTAATCTGTTACTCCTTGATTGGTTTAGATAATCAAACTTTGGTTAGCTGACAAACATAATACTGAACCGGCTGATTCAAACCTTCTAGGGTTGCCTCACAGGAACTCGTTGATCGTTAGTAACTAAAATTGAACTTGACTCGAAGTAAAAAAATGGTCCCGGAGACTCCTTTAATTAGGTTTCATTCGGTTGTGTCGAACCAGGCATAACTCGAAGCATTAACGTACAGTGGAAGCTGTGTAAACCGGCACATTTCCGGACTGAAAAATAATCCGGTTTAGATGTCTCTTCCACTTCGACACGACAGTGTTTGACTTTACTCCCTGTGCGTACGTTACATAGAGAAGGGAACCTATTTTCATTTACTGACCAATTACGAGTTGTGGAAGGACGAGAGCCCTGTGCCTTACTACAGATCCCAGCCTCTGATATTTGCAGTCTTATACTGATGTTATTTGTTATAGTATTAGGCCAGACATCAATACGTCGGTAGAACGGACGTTTGAAGGTGACAGTGTGGCTTCTTTCTAGTTCGTATGCAACATGTTGGGCAGTCTGGTTTGTGGTGTGTTCAGCGCTGCTTCTGCAGGGGAGTTACACGCGAAGCTCATTCTTGCTGCCCCTCTTGACATTTTTCTATTGCTTTAATTGCTTTAAAATCATTACCATTCAGTCATTGTATCGTGTATAAGGACCACTATTTTTATTTGACCAGATGAATGAATTTTTGAGGAGCAGGCCTGAAAATTTCTTTCACAAACAATAAAATTTCTCTAGGTTTGGTATATTCTGGTTACCTACCAACTTGGTGACTTTGTTGGTGGCAATCATGTAGAGGGGTGGTTTGTTGCTTATAATACCGATCACTGGATTGTCTGGTCCCTTATTTACAGGCCAGTGTCATACAACCTGTACACTGCTGAGTGCAAGGTAAACAACAATTACTGACATAGGAGGAAAACCCACAGTTATCCATGACACAGATTAATCAAAACAACAACATAAAGCAACAGCATGTGGTGCTGACAGACTGTGGACGATCTGAAAATGAACCCTGTGGATCCTTCTATCATGAAGGGAGGTAACTCTGCACTATGAACCACAATGCTTATGACAACTGGACCATTGGTTTTTTTAAAGATCTGTATGAAATTGATTCCCATCAAGTAATTGTTATAATTTTCTTTCAGTGTCATCTGATGAGCCCTCTATCAAGACAGAAGATGGGGGAGAAACAGAAGGTAGGCCACCTTGAGAACTCTCAAAACATACTGCATCCCACATTCCTTGGCAGAAACATATTGGGGCCCGTTTCAATGAATGATCATGTCTTTAAATCATCCATGGCTGGTCTGTGCTGGAACGTGACAGTTATTGTGCTACAAATGTGTTGTGAAAGAGGCCTCTGAAAGTAATCAGTAGAAAATAGACCCTTGGGAACAATGGCTGGCTTCCTGTGATGTAAATCACTGGGTTGTCTGGTCCAGACTTGATTATTTAGAGTAGTTGTCTCGATTGTGGTCATATTACTGAGTATCGAATTATGAAACATTAATTCTCACATTGATAGTTGGCGAGTGGTTGTTGTTTCAGTCTGTTTTGATCACAACAATGCATCAACATTTTGAATAGAGATATTCTCAATAAATACTTCAGTCATAACGGTGAACTGTTCAATCAGCAATAGAAGATCAACATATAGCTGACTTTGGCCATTTACTAAAAACCACAATCTGGAAGCTGATCACCATACCCACTGAAAGTATCTTGTGAACTTGTCAGATGTGTAGGTTGTATTCTCCCCAAGGAGTTGAGAATGAATATTGAGTGCACACTGATCCACTACCATGAGGGATAATAACGTTGATGCTTTTAAGCTTGCACCAAGTGTAAGGAGTGCACTATATATACACTTGTCAGATGTGTACTTTGTATACTTCCCAGGGAGTTGAGAATGAATGCCCATTGATCCATGAGGGGTAATAATGTTGATGCTTTGAGCTTGCACAACTTCTAAGGAAGCAGGTGCCATATAAGTCCATTCATGATATTTTATTATGTAGATATCCCAACAGTCGTACCAAGTCATGTTTTCAAGGCAAATTTCACAACATAATAAGACAATCTGTTCATTGAACCGTAAATGTTGTTGTTTTAAGGCGTCTACGAACTGCCTGTCTGCTTAATGGGAGGATACCCACAAAGACATGAAGGGAAATGTACAAGGGAGAGCAGATATATTGGGCAGTATACCTGTCACCCAGTCACATTTCTTGTCGGCTGCTAACAGCGAGTTAGATTCCTATCTATGTTATGTAGATAAGCCATGGAATCCAAATACCACCCGAAGGTTGTCAAAGTGTCATTTCTATAATCACAGTCTGCAGCCATTTTGAAAACCAGAACACTATACCTTCCCAACACAAACAAACACACTTTAGGATCAACGTCACCAATATTTACTCTTCAACATATGTAGGTGAACTTCATTTATAATTTATGATTGAAAACATTGGGAGATATATTGGAGTCAGTCAATGTTGATATGATAATAATGAATATTTTGAGAGTGTATCAACACTTGCGCTTCTATTGTGACCGGGGCGGTGGGGTAGTCTAGTGGTTAAAGCGTTGGCTCGTCATGCCGAAGACCCGGGTTCGAATCCCCACATGGGCACAATGTGTGAAGCCCTTTTCTGGTGTCCCCTGCCGTGATATTGCTGGAATATTGCTAAAAGCGGCTAAAACTAAACTCAGTCAGTCAGTCAGTCTATAGTGACCATAGTTGTTTGTACAGTAAACACTCTTGAAAGATGATTGGTGTGTGATATGAAATTTGCATGTACGATTTTCATTTTAAAAAACCCAAAACAAAACAAAAATGGGTAGAAACAAACACTAACAACTGTGTGATGCAAAATGATTGTCAAAATTAATTGTCTACAGTGATTTATTGACCTTCTTGAAAATCATCAAAATCAAGAATGATACCCCATGCACGTGTATGGGCATGTGCTCGTGCATCCCTAGACTAAGGCTTAGTCTCTGAATATATATAATTTTGATAGTAACAAACAAGCCCATTTAAATTGAAAAGGAGCCCTAGGGAGACCAGAGATTCAGAACCTGAACCTGAGGAAATATAGACTTGCTTTATTTAGGGCTTTAGCACTGCAGAGAGGGCTTGGCAGTAGGGAAAATAATGTGGTTCAGGGACTGTGAGACAGACTAGTGCATCCCATGCATTGTGTTTAGGGGTGGTGATAAAGAGAAATGGTGGTGTGCTCGTAAGATGTCTTATACTTCCTTTACAATTGAAAGTTCAGGATCCCCTACTTTTTTTTAAGAGAATACTTTTATGGACTGCTGCCATACAAGGTAGCATGAACAGTCTTCTGTCCAGGTTAGTTATATCATTTACGCACACCATATAAAAAACCTAAGGATATCTGTATCTTTAGACAAACTGTCTCATGCCAAGTTACATCACTGTAGAGTATGATCTTTTTATTAAAATTGTACAGAACCCTGCATCCTTGAACATATAAAATTCTTAGTCTCTTACAGAGCTCCAGATAAGATTTAGCTCATGTGGGTACTGTACCCACTGTATTTCTTTGAGTGGGTATTATGAATGTTGAGTGGGTATTTCATTTTCCGTTACCCACTGCTTTCAAATATGCGTATTTCAGTCATTTTACACACCTAAGTATTATGTGACTGAGTAAGTTTACTAAGCAGGTTCTGCCTTATGTCATACCTAATCAAAACCAACTTAAATATAATGGAAATGATTTCATAAAAAATCCCTCTTCCTATACTGACAGTACAACACTTGTCCTATACTAACAGTACAACTTGATAGCAACCCATGTCTTTTTTATTACGCAAGCGATTTTTATAATATATTCCGTATGCATTTGTTTTAAACTTTTTGCATATCTAACATTTTAAATGCGTATTTGGTATGCAACAATTAGTTTTCAATGCGTAATTGGAAATTTTCTATGCATATTTTACCCGGATACGCAGCTTATCTGGGCCTCTGCTCTTAATTTGTTAAAACTAACATAATCAATTTTATAAAGTAGAATGATGATAATGTATGGTACTATTCAAGTAAAAGTGTGTTTGGTGTACTGTTTTGTGTGTGTGTGCTAGATCGGTTGTCCACTTCTCCTTCCAGACTGCTTGACCGAAGAAGATGGAACAGTTCTGGAAAAATAAAGCAAAATTGAAACGTTTTTAAAAAATGAAAACAGTCCACCACAATGCAAAGTAACTGAAGTAGTATCTGAATAGTATCAGCTGTTGAAAGTTTCAGATTGGCTTGATTCAAAATATTCAAAACTCACCTCAAGCAAGATTCATCATATTTATCAGTTTTGTGTCATATTTGACCAGAGAGCTGCTAACATTGAAAGGTGATTTATAAATGATTCTAGTCACTTTTCATGCAGATGAAAAGGTTTTGACATTTTCTTGACAGTTTAAAGAAATATATCATTAAAATATTTGTGATAGTAAAAGACCTCCACTTCATCAAATGGATTTTAAAAGATTGGGTTTTAAAAATTAGTGTTTCTTTCATATTTGTGTGGACATTCAGGTGAGGGTAGTGACAGAAACTTGGCACCCATTACACATCAAATAACCTTCCCTTCAGCCAACATTTTCTTGGAATTATATTTCTGCATTTTGAGAAGAAATTAATCTTTTTAGTTTTCATCCATGTTGAGTTTGTTTTATTCATATAACAGAGGTAGTAGTTTTCAGTTGGGTTTTAATTAATTGATTAAAATAAACCTTTCTATATTATGGGCAGACTGAAAGAGATCTCAATGTGATTCTCCTTTTGAACAGGGACCTATTGAAATAATGCAAATGTTTATAAAGTTAAATTGGGACATGAGTGAACCGTAAAGTTAAGTAAATGACTAATGATTTTTCAAATTGGTAATATCCTTTGCTCAAATTCTACATACTATTGACAATCCCAATACGTTGTATATTACACCATCACATTCCTGTGAAGGTGAGCCTATTAAAATCTTACTTCCATTCTTCAATATTATTCCAAAACATACAGTGTTCTGGTCTAGAATGGTCCCTGGGTCATTTTTGTAAAGTAGATTTTTTTTTTATGGACCTTACTAGACTGAAACACAGTTTAAAAGATTCTGGCTTGAGTGGGGTGGGACTCACCAAGCATCTAACCATTACACTGAATCACATATACCTGGTACACTATTTCAAGGAGCACAGAAAAGAACAACAAATATTTTTCAGCTGTATTGTTTGGGTTTTTATGAAATAGTGAATTATCTACTATCTAGTGTTGTATGACTTACTCAAATTAATAGTTGGTTAATTGATGTCAGTTTCGAACATAAATTTAGCCTGAAAACTTGATTGATTCATTTATAACCATATAAACTTGAGTTTTAGTAACTACATATATAACTGTATATAAATTTAGTTTTTAGTAACAATATAAATATATATTTTATTTCTTTGTATATTTAGAAACAATATAAATTTAGTTTTTAGTACTATATATATGTGTATTCAGTTTTTTAGTAACTATATAAATTTAGTTTTTTTAGTAAAAATATGAAATTAGATATGTAATTTGAGTAAAATGGTATGAGTTTTAAGACTGAGTATAAACATGTACAAAGCCACACCAGGTTTCAATCCCTGCTTCTGGTGCATTGTCTCATGTTTAGTTTATGTTTTTGAGTACGTATTTGAAGCAAATATGTTTTCAAGCTTTGCAAGTTTCCCTTTTGTTATTTACACAAAGGATACAACAAGAGCAGTAACTGTATTATATTTCTGTTGTGATGTTTTGTTAATCATTAAACAACATTATTAATTGTTTATCTAATGATCAATCATTAAATTCAATCAGTAGATTACCTAAAGGGAGTTGTATAGGTTGCTATCATAAGTACTGACTGAGTTTAGTTTTACGCCGCTTTTAGCAATATTCCAGCAACATCACGGCGGGGGACACAAGCAATGGGCTTCACACATTGTACCCATGTGGGGATTCGAACCCGGGTCTTCGGCCAGACGAGCCAAGGCTTTAACCATTAGGCTACCCCACTGCCCCCTATCATCAGTAAATAGCATGGCATAAGTAAATATAACAATATATAAATATAAAACATTAATGTAAGTGGAGAATCAGGCTTGATTATACACCCAAAGAGATTCCACTGCACTACAAGGGAAA